CTACTTCTTGCAAGTTTTACCAGGTCGTCAACCCATCTAGTGGATGGCTGCCGCACACTTCACGTACCGGTACGAGGCTGCCATCGGTTATCAATTCTTCATGTGGCCAGCCTATTGCCACTTCAACTTAGTTCCGTCCTGTCCGTTCTTTCCGTTTCCGTCCGTTTGGCTACGTTGGTTACTCTAGTTCTACTGCGAATAACCTCATTTCTAAGTTTATCACGCAAAGAAACCTTTCCATAGCTCGCTGAGTGACCTTGAGCTTCCTCATATGGCCAGCAGTGAAGTACCACGTCTCCATAAATCGTCACACTGGTTCTACAATTAGGGTTCCCAATTCTCTCGGATTGCCCGGGAGACTCCGGTAATAACGGTTAATCCCGGGGTGCAATAATTTCTCCGGTTTTTTTTAAATTATCCTCGCTCGCACATGTCGCTACTCACTCGCTTTGCGGTCACATACAACATAACGCGCCGCTGCCGGTGTAAAACTGTTCGTCTCGCCGTCGACGTCATCCATTCTGTGGTGCCTGTCCCGGTGAATATTCGATAAATTTTCGATGAATATTAATAACAAGCAATGAACATTTAATGTCTAAAAGAACCAATCACATGAACAGGTATTACTAGACTCCAGAAATTATTGAATATTGAGTTAGATAGTGACAGACTGTACGATGAGGTTGGACTTTTGCGTGAGATTCAACCACAGCTCGTTAAAGAAAATCGCGTGGATTTACGTTGGGTTGACTTCTTTACGAAATCGTAAGACTGAAATCCCTGTTCTGAATTGAAAAAAAATGATCAAATATTTTCTTTCCATTTCTGTGTCTAATGCTTCTTGTGAGCGCATATTTAGCATTATGGAACAAGCATGGGGAAAGGAAAGAACCCGAATGAGTATTTCTTTAGTAAAAGCAGAGTTACTAGTACTAACAAACTTCGATTTTTCGATTTTCGACAACGAATATTAGATGCTGCTCGAAAGCAAAGTAAATATATATTTAAAAATTAATAAATGATTGAGATTTTCTTTCATAAAATTCTCCCGGGTTGGGCTTTTCGAGAGATGGTAACCCTATCTATAATTTCATTTTCACGTTTTGAGGTATATCTGACGAGAAGATGTGTCGTTATTTCCCGAACAGTACTCAGCCGAGTTGAATCCATCGATTGACTTCTCGGTCGAAGTTGGATTTACCAAGTCCGACTATTTGTCCTAGGTAAACATACGTGTTTAACTTCAAGCTTAGTGCTCCCAACAACTACTGGCATAGGTGTGACATGGGTGTTACACATAACCTTTGTTTTGTCCATGTTCATCTTAAGACCTATCCGTTGGGAGGGCGTTCATAACATTAAATTAGGAGTGTCTCTCATTCATGTAAACAATTAGGGGTCCGGTAGTGCTAAGAACCTGCAGATATTTAATTAATTTTGGCGCTTTAGATAATATTTTATAAACATATTATAAGGATTTAAAAGCCAGCAACTCATCTGCAATTCCCCTGGTGCTGCAGTTGTTCACGGACGGCGGTAGTCACTTACCATCAGGTGAGCCGTATGCTCATTTGCCCCCTATCATATATAAAAACATAGTCCTGATGCTGTGGCCATAGATTTTTTCATATATCCTCGATTAAGAAACAAAGTGATTAGACTGAGGACTAAGGCTGTTATTCATAAAAATCGATGTTAAATTAACAAATATGCTTTTTGTTGCTCTCTCTCTCTCTCTCTCTCTCTCTCTCTCTCTCTTTTTTCTGTAAAAGGAAATAGAAAGAGACCGTAGAGAGACAATATATAATTTAAGTAAGCGATAATAAACGATTATGTAGTAGAATGTTTGTATACCACTTTACCACTAAATAATATTTACGATTCAGGCAACTAACCTCTATATAAATAAGGGCTTAGGTCACTTACAACACAGTATAGCTGTTACGGCCCGCAGCTGCCCCTTCAAAGTTCGCCCAGGCTGGGGCCCATAGCAGCCTGCTCGACGGGCAGACGCGGGTCGGGCCCAAGTGGCCATATGGAAGAATGTCCTATCATACTAAACTATATGGGAAAATGCTAGGAAAATATAGTACGTACCTGTTTCCGACTCTTAAGACCGCCCCAAGGCTCGGTCAGGCCGTAAGTGGGTGTAAGGTGCATGGCAAGTAGTGTTTAGTGATATGTATGTGTCTGAGACCTGGACCAGCTTAGGTGGCCAGCAGCGGCCGAGTTCCAGGCTGCCCCACAATGCTGCATCGCTCCAGCGGGCTCCACCGCTGGACCATTTCTTTCTTCATTGTCACTATTTCAGTCTATTAGCTTCATTGTACATTTAACTGACTTAAACTCACCTAATTCCACATTCATCGTAGAATCGAACACGTGATACGCGACACAATACGGACAGTATTTGAAAGTTCGACGTTCAATATCCCGTATTCACTTATCACAAAATTTTAAATAGGGAACTAACGCGATCTCTTCATGAGTCACACGGTTCAGCGTTAATGACAACTAAGTTCCTTCGTTCGATACCAAAACACCACGCCGCGATAAGAATTCAAAATACGCCTCGTTGACACGTAAAACTAACAAACCAGCCAACACACAAAAAAGGGCACTTAACGCGACGGCACAATTATAATGATTTCCAGACAATCAACCGGGAGACGCTCTCGAACAAGGAATGCGCGGTTCGAATACTAGACCATATATCTACTCGGCACGTGCGTGCGACATTCAGCATCACCCGAGCAAGTTAAATATTGCAAAATTCACATATCCACATAGCGAAGTAACACACACTAAATCTAACCATCTGGACCCTACACCGGTCGCGTAAACTTCTGCCGCAATAACCGAGATACGCGGATTCACCGCATCGCGGCCAGCGAGCTACCTTCGCCCACGCGTCGAGCCACTGCAAGCCGCACACGGCCGCCTCACCTGACGGCGTTTACCTGACCTCCATACTATCGAGTGACGCACCAGCTTGAACGCGATTGGATGGCGTTCAAAATGACCAATTTTGGGCATAAACAAACCCTGGTCCCGGACATAAGGACTTATGTCCGCGAGCAAACCAACAAGCGGGACAGGGTCGCGACGGCACGTTGCAAGACCGAATCTACAACCAACACTAGGCCACCTTGTGTTGCCCCATCAGATCTTGCAACCCTAGCCACCGCCTCAAAAAGACAGGCCCAATGTGGGCAAGCCTGAGGGTTAACCTCCACTGGATGCCCCTCCTGGGGATCGCAGCACCTTAACAAGTCCTGTACTGGACAGAAGTCCGACGGCCTCTTTCAAACACCTATCTATGCTCCTATGATTCGTTCCGCAATCCGACCGGATCAGGTCTGCAAACAGCGACGCGACACGAAGCGGCCCAGCGTGGCCTCCTAAGCTTCAGTGCAGAGAGCACCCACAAATTCCACATGAACGTCGTCTGTGTAGAGCCAAACGAAACGCACAAATAGTCCCTAGTATGAATTTTCAAAGAAGTAGGCATAACCAAGCCATCCACCATATAATCATTTACTCAAATAGTGCGGCAGCTGATTTCAATCTGATAATCTCCAAACTAGGTAGCCTTTTAGACAAGTAGTCCTATGCTCATATTTCAACTAATTTTCAAAAGCATCAATGTTCAACTACAGAATTAATTTAAACAAATTAATCACCGATGCATATAGGTCAAACTGACAAATTAAACAAAACGATAAACGTAAGAGACAGCCCTATTTCTCATTTCAAATAAATATCTTGCCAGTGCCAACGAAATGTAAAAACCAAAGGAGGAATGACTCTTATTCCATTCGGCACAAATAGGGTTATCCAATTTCAATTTTCTTTTCAACAAAACACAATGATCAAACAATCACAAAAACATACGCACAAGCATTCAAAGGGCACATCATTCAATTTCAATTTTCTTTTCAACAAAACACAATGATCAAACAATCACAAAAACATACGCACAAGCATTCAAAGGGCACATCATTCAATTTCAATTTTCCTTTCAACAAAACAAACACAATGATCAAATACAATTACAGAAACATATATATATATATAAGTATTCAAAGAGCACATTAAATTTGCCTTCTTAATCACAACCGCCACAAATATGAAACATTTCGCGGAAGCCACAAAACCATTTTTAATTTTAATTTAAAGCATCGTTAATTAAGTGCTCGATCATAACCAAATCTAACAATCCTTAACAGCGCAATTCAACGCTCCCCCGCACTTTTTACGATACAAAATATAACTTTAGTTACTACATAAAAAGATACACGTTTTATTGCGATAAATCGAAAATGTCCAGCGGCGTAGCCGGACGCATCACGTCGAAGCGGTGCTTCGTCGGTGGGAGCAGCATGCAAGAGCGGCGCTGCGCCTCGTAAAGCCGCGTGACGCAGTACGACCCATTCGTCTCACAACTATAATATAATAAAAATGCTAAGTGGAAGCAATGCAAGTGCTAGGTGGCATTTTGCAACATCAGTTCATATATGACAACAATACTCCATACACGACCGGACATACACTTTAAATTGAGTAAGCATATATCCCGATGTGAAGTAACGCTGCACCTTTGCAAGGAAATTTTCATCCAGCTGCCTTGGCCCCGGATTCAGTTAACTGCCCGAAGTTCAGGTTCAAGGAAATTTTATCCTCCAGCAACTTGAGGCGGTGGTGTATTCAAAAGATCCATTTCGGAAAGAATGAGTTAAGGTTAGGTCCTTTTTGCTGTGAGCCGCGACGAATCTCACAAAATTGGCATCACCTATTCGGAGATTGCCTGCAGTGAGAGGAGATTCACACGCTCAATTATATCTTCTCTTACGGTTTGAGCCGGACTAGCTTAAGCACTCGACTGATCTATCGCAATGTTATGTAATCATGTTAAATTGGCCTCCGTTAAAAGCATACTGATATTTTTACAGCATCTGATATCTTTTAAATTTACATTTTAAATTTTATTTTACTTTTAGGAAAGGAGAATTCGAAGACTGGGCAGATGAAATGGCCCGGAAAGGTTTATTCCAAGCAGTTCCTAGGCCACCGAGAAATAATTAATTACTGTTTTGTTTGCAATTAATATATTTGTATGCATATATAAAGTTAATTCCTATAGAATAAATGTTTCATTTTATCCGCTTGACTTACGCTAGTATTAATGAACATTGTTCTCATATTATTTTTAAAATGTGCAGTAATTATTCTAACTTCTAAATATAAACAATTTTAGCCTGTAAAAATAAAGATAGTTTCATATCTGTTACGATTATTTTTTAATGTTTGAGTATGTAGTGCAAATTATTAAAATATAACTAAAGTATGTATGAAATTTAATTTAAAATAATTTTTAATTATTACAATGAAAACAGGAAGTGATTCGTGTCCTCACGTTTCATGGCGGCAGCCAATCAGCCAATTAGCAGAGCTTATATTTTCACAAGAGCATGATAATACTCCAATCATGAGAAGTCTTCAATAGAGCATGAAAATTCGATGATATGACTTCGGAAAAGCGTATGAAATGAATTCATTAATAAAATAAAATTATAAAAGGTTCATATAACACTTCTGACGTTTGTTATTATAGAATTTTTAATTCTCTACAATAATTTAAGCTAGATATTATACAATGTCGAAGCCTATTTTAGTATATAATTTTTTTAAAAAGAACTTCATTCAAAAGCTACGTCACGTATGTTTGTCTACTTCGAGTCAATGCGCATGTCAAGTTGAAAATTGCAAATGGCGGCCGTTGTTATTGTTCGTACCGAATAACTATTTGTAAAATATATACCAATCTTTTTAGCGATTTTTCTAATGGACTGTTATATTGATGAGACGCTTTAACTTCTTATGATTCGGCGCGACACGATTTATGTACGTTTTTATGTGTTTTGAGTGTTTTTTTTAAATTCTATGTGTGTCATGCAAATGGGGTAAGCTGGAATTATCGGATGTCGCTTAGGTTGTTTTGGATAGTTTCAATGAAAAAATGGAGTGGACTTCTGTGATCTAAAGTGTGAAAATGGAAACTGCCTAAATCTAAATATATATTACGCGACTATTCAATATTTGCGATAAACGAAAACGTCTGTAAATTACGAATGTTCCATGCCGTGATTGCACTCCCCGTACATTTCAAAATGGCTGCTGCTCTTCACGATATATGAGCTTTGCGTCACTGGAACTTATATCAGTGGTTTCGATTCGTGTTAAAAGTTGCTTATTTCAACACTTGTGATTATATGTGAGAAATCGAAAATAAGCTGTGGACAGTGCCCCGGGCATACCTGGGGCGGAACTATAGTGGCTAATATCATATGTTGCTGAAGTAGTGAACTGGACAGTGCCCATAGGACCGATATTGCCTTGCGTCCGGCGGACTGTAATGTTGAGTTTGGTTTTCAAGGATGGTTTGGGACACGAGACAATAGAAATATTGTGGTATTGAGCGGAATGTGACATTGTATGAAAGGTGAGTTGCTTTTTTTTTTAGTTTATTTACATTTCAAGGGGTGTCAAACATCGATGTCCTCACAAAATGGACACATTGGTTGACAGGAGGTCGGTCGCTCGCGGTGCATACCGCGCGTTATAGGATGAAATAAAAACTAATTTTAGCAAAGAACTTTCATATATATTTGATTTACCAATAAATAATCATTTGTAATCAGTTGTGTAACACGCGTAAAACTTTTTGAAACTGCGACCTTGCCGATGATTTAGGAAATATTCCGTACAACATAATAATATTGTTACGTAGTCGGCGTCTCTTTATACCTTTTTAATCACTTTTGTTAGATCCACGGCGGCTTATTAGTTGAATATTTGTCAATAATTGTTGCACGTTCATGACTTCTAAAATGATAATATAAATTGAGTGAGGTTAGAAGGAACAGGAACTTTTAACACTAAATTTGTAAACTTACTGAATCTTGACAAGTATATCAAATTAAAATTAAAATTTCAGAGTATAAAATTATAATTAAAAAATAATTAGATTACAATAATAAGTTATCTAATGGTAATTTTGTATAACTTCTTGAAATTTTGCATTGTTATCAATAGACCATAAAAGAGTATGAATATGAATCTATAGTTAATTCTGGTGCTATTAGTGTAGTTTTCATAAGGTTCTTAACTAAGATTCTAATTAAAAAGTAACAATATAGTTTTTAATTAGAATCATTATTGATTTCTGACTACTTTGCTAAAGAATTATTAAATAAGTTGAAACTTGTATTTCTTAGATTTTTAAATATTTTGCTATTGTAATAATAATGCATTCATAATAAATTTATAAATATATATATATATATATATATATATAAAGAAACAATGTTTATCTACATTAACTACATTTTCCATCCTTGTCTAAAAGAAATGTACTTTTCAAATAAAAATAAACTAAGTTTATGCACCTGTCCATTTAGCTTACTTAATTCTCAGATAGTAAAATCCCATGTACTAATCATATTTATTATAATTATAATGAAAGTATATTAAAGTAAGATTTTAATTCATAAAAAAATCCACTTCAGCACCAGCAAAGTGATAGAAAAATACACTAAAAGTAAACAAACTATACCTACATGGAATTTAAATGAAATTTAACAGTAAAGACACATTACTTATTATAATTTGATATTAGGCATAATTTACTGTTTGTGTACAACCATCCTTTTTTTTCAAAACCTCATTCAATTTGTCTTTAAATAATAAATAATAGATTAATGTTTTACATATTAGTGGGTAGATTTCAGATATTTTTTTTTCACTTTCATTCATATAGGATAGGCAAATGAAAAAGGTCTAAAGATAACTTTAGCCTATTTTTAATGTTTCACTTCAATTGAATCATCGACAATATATCTTATACAAATAAATAGAGCCTAGCAAAGGTTTGTGAATGTTTGTACTTAAGTTTACTTTTTTATGATTTACTTGTGCACAAAAAATTTGATGTTGATTATTTATTCATCAAAGCCGATCAAACAAAAATATATTTTTTTAATAAAATATGCAATCAAAAAAAATTAAATACAAAAATCACAAACTTACAATTATATTTTATTTTTAACATATTATGATTTATTTCTTTTTTGGTAATGGTCTTGTACGTTTGTAAATTTGCTAGTTTCAAGAAATAGGAAATTATCCATTATAATGATTTGTTCAAAAACTTCCCTATACAATATATTTATATATTAACTTGTTTTAAATTGACAACTTTTTATTATTTAAAGGCAAATGAATCGTATGTCCATGTTTTAACAAAAATTCTTCACAATATGGTGATGTGTCATACTGTGAACTTTTTACTTAAGACTATTAAATTCTCAAGGTGCCAAACCAAACAAACTTAGTTTTTATTGCTATCAAAGCATTAGTTTCATTGTTTCAACTACCTAATTTTTCAAATGCACAGTGCTTATCATTAAGTTCCCATCAAAGGCTATGTATATATGCTGAGTATATGTATATTGCATAGTTAAATATTATTAATATACATATTTATTTATGTATATGATAATAATTTTTGCCATCTTATTTTCCCATTTAATAAATAGGGTAGTAAACAACCTTCAAGTAACATTATTTATTATACATAAAATACATAAATCCTGTCACCCAGAAGAGTATCAGAGACTGTGGACTTTCATTTGGCTTAATGCTGACACCTCTCGCTTTTTTCACATCCATATATTTATGCACACATTCTCTTAATTTGGCCTATCTTCAATACATCACCAATTTGATCTTATTAACCAGTATTTATGGTGTTCTTGCCAACTCTGCCTCTTACTTCTATAGTATAAATTTGCTTTGTCACTCTTACCTCTTTTATTCTTTCTATGTACCACTGAAGTATTCCTTTCATCTTCATCTTTATCTTGCACACTTTTCTCTCATCATGTAATTTTACTTACCTTATCATTCAGTATTACCCCTAACATACTTCACATATAATTGACACATTCTGACTTCTGTTACTACTAGTATGAAGAGCCCCATTCACTTAGTGCCCTATATTCACTTTTCATTGTTATATCGTTGTTATTTCTGCCATCTCTCAAACACAACCTTAATACACAAAATCCTCCACTTAACCAACTTTCTAATTTCATAAATTTTTCTTCTACTTCCCTTTTAATGCTATGTTTATTAATGTTAACGTCATTTGCACCTCGTCTGCCTATAACATAAATATTGGTAAGAGTTGCTAACTCACCAATAGGTCAAGGATTGTGCGCCAGCTCTTCAGTCACCGCTCTTGTTTATTGTCAATCTGTCCCTTAGATAGGCTCAATATTCAGAACAATGAAAACTATCTAGGGTGACACCTGTTTCAAAGGGAGAACCTGGAAAAGATGTTTCTACTTTTAGACCTATTGTGGTGCTTTCAGTTCTGGTGAAGATATTTGAAATCATGTTGGACTTTCACATTAGCAAACAGATAACATTTATTCGTGACCTTGAGATTTGAATGTGAATCAGCCCAACGCTCAACCGAAATGTGTACAGCATTTGCCATAAAGTAAGCTGCACAATGATGCAAAATGCATGGAAAGTCTGGTTTCTGGTCAAAAACTTCTCTGTGATTATCTATGTAGAAAAGTTCTGATCCTTACCCCTTCTTTCTAAATCCAGCTTGGGATGTATCCAAAATTTTCACCAGTATATTTATTTCAATTAACCTCTTAGTATCCTCTCTATTAATAATCTCTCTTATGTATTATTATTTATTACTTTTTAAAATAAATGGATTTATTTTGAAATACTAATAAATAATAATATATATGTCACAATTTGAAATTTGTCTTATAATTCTATAAAAATATGTTTCTTACAGGCAAAAGCATTTTCAAATAGTTTTTTTATGGTTGCCCAGGTATATTACATTATATAAGTACATTGAGTACTTACTACTAGATTCACTGTAACACTACATTAATTGTAATTATATAATGGAAGATAATAGGATATTGATTTGTTTTATAAATTACGTATTTCAAAACAAACACCTCTTTCTTATTAAATCCCTGTAAAACAAAAATTATAATATATTATAGAATTGCACATATGTAGAATGTTCAGTGGCCCTTGACCTTGACCAGTATAGATCATTGACTTTTGTTAAAGCAAGTTTGTAATGTCATTAGTTCATAGAGTTAAAAGATATAGATCTTAAACTAGTCAAATAAATTATCAATTAAGGAAGCAATTTGTGTCCTTATTACAAATATCATGACTATAAATAATTATGTCAACTCTATATTATGTGTAATTGCATAATTACCACCTAATTAAGTTTTCATTAATTAGGATTAGGATTTCTCACAACCAAAAACTTTTGTTTTAAGTTTTAGCATTCTCTACTATTTAACTGTTAATATATGTTCTTACAAACAAATATATGTGTAAGTTTGATAATTTCACAGTTGACCATTTCTAAAAGTAGTGATTATTTATTTAGGGATGTAACAAAACCAATACCATTATGTTGGAATCATTGATAAGTTTCCATGAAAAATAATGCTTAAAAATATTTATCAAATTGCCAGAGCTTAGTAATATTAGAATAACTTCTCTAACAGCATTGTGTTGTTTTCCCCACACTGTAGGCAAATTGGCGATTGTAGTACAAGATGTCTTACACTTTTGAGACTGCTGTCCAAGATTTCTAAAACCATATTGAGTTGATATAAAAAAATTGTATCTTAGGAGATTACCATTCTGCTTACTGTTTAGGTAAACTTTCAATGTTTTATGATGATAATATCTTGCTTGACAAATAGGTTAAAATTGCATCTGGGGTTGGGGTTGGGTTGGTTGTCGGTGACGGTTTCTGCCTAAAAAATATTTTTTAAAGAATTGTTTTAATTTTTTGTTGTTATGAGATAACGAAAGATTTTCCTTTAACAAAAATAAAAGTAAAATTACAGATTATATATGTCCCACATTTCTGACATAGTTATGAAGCAATTAGTCTGCCTTGCTGTTCCAGTGTTGGCAAATAAAAAAACAATCTTACAAAAAAATTAACAAATTATAAAATTGTAAAATTAAAAAATCACTATTAGCTAATGGCAACATTTTCAAGTTCCTCAGTTCCATTATATGTAGGGTTACCATAACTTCCAGGAACCAATATGGGATGTTTAACACTTCTGATGCCCAAAACACATTAACATATTTTATGCTAAAATACAGTGTTTAAACTACACTAAAGCATGCATGTACATTAGTAAAAGTCAAACCATGCATTTGTTGACAGCTACTCTGATCTCAACCTAGTAGGCATCAAAAGTATAAAATAAACTAAAAAAAAATTGAAATCAGTCTTTGTTCGGAGCAATCATAGTAACAATTTTTTATTTAAGTTAACATTCCATTATTTTTTTGCCCAATCATATTTTGAGGTTGATTTTAGTCTATGTAATAATCTCGTTTTCTTTTTTAACATAATCTTAGAACTGGGTGATATCATTTTGAGATTATATCAAATAAATACGTATTCACTGGTCTGTACCTGACAACTTGTTTGATCTGTTTTGTTAATGCGTTCATTCAGCTGTCAATGAAAATATTCTTTCTACATTTGCATTGTGGGGAGGAATTGTTTAGATTTGTATTTAAAACGCAATGAGGAGCCAGCTGTGCGTAAGTGCCAGCCACGCCACCAGTGCGGGCCATTTCGTATTTTGTTGAAAAAGTGACTAATATGGGATATAAAACGGGGGTGGTCCTGTATAAACGGGATGTATGGCTATAATTATATGAGATGTTGAGTTGGATTTAGAATCGTTTGGTACGAATTTGGCGGAGTAAGGTGTTTTATTTGGTAGAGATTTGGTTCCTGATTATAATAATACCACTCACATTAAAAGGTAATGCACCGTTATCGAAAAAATAAATAAAAACTGTTATAACCTAAAATGTGTAAAACATGGATAAATTACTGTGAAAGCTGGATAGCAAGGAGGATAACAAGGACGTAAGACTAGTGTCACATTATTCTACTGTCTATACTCTCTGTCAAGAGATATTTCGCCAAAGACAACTATAATAATAGAGAAAATTTTACTGACTTGATATATGAATATTTATGGAGAAGAGAAATTATAAGGAATAAAAGAGACTATAACTAATAGAAAGAGAATATAACTATAATAGAATTATAAGGAACATTTTTTTATTAATTCCTCAAAAGGAATTAATAAAAAAATGTTCACAGACAATAAAGAAATGATTATAATATACTGTTTTATTTCTGAATTATTTAAAACTGCCCAGAAATAATTACAATTGTAATAGGTTAGAAGGTTGTGGCAGGAACGAAGGCAACCTGACATTATAGTTAAGATATATGATCTGATCGAATCTGTACTAAAATTAAACCAGCACACCCCAACTCCACGTAGTCTTGTCTGCCCTACTCCTAGAGTGTTTTTGTAAAGCCGTAGGTGCAGAGGGGTTGCACTTCCCGCAGCGCTGAAGTTGTTGTAAAAGTAACTTTGGGTTAATATTCCTGTGTAAAAAAGTGAGGTTATGATTTTACAAAAAAAACATTACTCATAAACTATACTTTTCCACAATGAGGGAAAAGTAGAGGGGCTTTCCTTGATAGGGCACACTCCTGCTACCCTCTTCCCCCGTCCTGCTGGAGACGATAAATGTTACTTTCAGGTTAGGGCTCTGGGATATTGTTTTTGATTTTTCTGAAGAACGGTGTATTACCTTCTAATGGGAGTGGTGTCGGGAGTAAGGGGACAATCCCCCGTCCCCACCCCTCAACCTCTACCCCCTCCTCCTGCCAAACGATTCTAAATTTCAACCGAGATGTTTCCTTGATAATATCAGGATATTATTCTATAAAATTTAAATTTTCTTATTGTATATATGTGGTAAAATATTATTTATAGGCTGTGAGGCATTTTCATATAGTCCTCAGGCATGACAATCTATCTGGGTCATCAATGTTTGAAATTGGTTGCAGATTCCCATGGCCTGTAATAGTAACTTGGTGGACTGTTAGCTTATTTTTAAAAGGAGTCCCAAAAATCAGCTCAAATAATTTGAAACCCAAAATAAATAATGTGATATTATAGATGTTTGCTTATTAAATCATAAGTCTTGTACAGTATGAATAATTTGACAACAATATTATGTAATGTATGTACTAAAAATAACATTTCACAACCCTCTAATTAGTAGAAATTAATCGATAATGTTACACAAACTTGAAAGAATGCAGAGTATAAAAGTGATAATCTCTACTCTGTCTTTAGAATAATAACACCTAGAACGATAGTTCCCTACAAAGCGGACGTTCAAAAGTGGGGCAGGAACAAAATGTGTGCGTTATCAACTTGTGTTTACGCTAGACGAAACGCATACAAGTGAATAAATAATGTTGCCAATACATTAAATTTTCCCCAAAAGTAGGGAAGTTGAAACTATATTGGACTAATAGTTACAACGTAACGTATGACTCACACAAATGTGAAAATAAGTTTGTTTGAATTCTAATCGAAGTGTAGCCCGCTAAATTCAAAATATTTTTGAATAGGATAGGTATTTGCCTATCTAGCCAAGTGGAATACTTTTATGAACCATATAAATGTCATTGCATCATATTTTTCTTTGTAACTGTATAGAGATGTTATAATTATATGACTAATGCAAGTTACGATATACACCCGCCCGAAGCTTGACTGTTCGACTGTTCGACGAACGATTGACCATATTCAGTATCTATTATTCAGTTTGTTTTTAACATTTTTTTAAAAATAATAGTCAAGTAATGGTGTACCGTACCTCACTGCATGCATAATGTAAGCTACAATACGAAAAACACAAGAAAATTTTAATTTTTATATGTGATAGAGCCATGCTGCAGCTACATTGTAGTATAGTTGTAGCACGAATAGGTCGGCTTGACCGGGGAAGGACCACGCTCTCACAGAACACCAGCGTAAAATAGGAGCTTAACACTGCTGTGTTTCGTATGGTGAGTGTAGAGAACGGAGACCCTTTTTACTGGGTGTTATTATTCTAAGACTGTCCAACTCAGAGTATTTAATCATTGTTTCAATGCAACTGTATATGTTTGATATACATAGACTATTTTGTGTTTGACATTTGATTTTGGCAGTATCAACATAAACAATTAATGTTTTATTTCATTTAATTTGATGTATTAATACATAATATATATAAATATTAGGGACATAGGTGACATCTCCACAGGAGAGGACAATGCTTTCAATACCTCCTAGCAAGATGCACTATATTGGTACACTAGAAAGCATTTCTATCTGTGAAAGTTAGAGGACGAACGAGCCACCTCACCATCCCCTCCCCACCTGCCCAAATTCTACATAAAGGCCATGGACCTAACTTGAAACTGCACTTAAAAGCAATAGCCTTCTGACTCCAGTGGTGGATTTAGTCTATGTCTACACACAGTAACAGACTAGGTTTAAGTCAGGGCGGGGAGGGTAGGGAGAGCAGCGCATCATAATATCGACACTCTTTTTTTCCCCCGCAGCCTCACCACCGCTAAATCAGCATTGTGGCCAATGTGGCTGATTTTGACCATGGTGCCTTCCAATTGGTGTTGGAGTCTATCGACTGCTATGCGACGAGATCGGAGCTGGATTAGAATGCAGATATGGCGATAATCCTAAAACCAAATTAGAAAATCAACAATTTGTTTTTTTGCTAATGTTGGCTCCACATTTCAGGTACTCTACTAGCATATGTGATTGTTTTAAAGTAACTAATAAATATTACATTAGCCACCATAAGACCACATTACTAGCTTTTTTCATTGCACAGCATGGCAGCGGACAGCGATGGGCTAGGCTCGGCGGGCGGGGGCGGCGGCTCGTGCGGGGTGGTGATGACCTGCGAAGGCGACCTGCGCGACCCGCGATTCCCCGCGCGCCTTCGCCGCCTACTGCGCGAGTTGCGCGCGCTGCTCGCCGAGCCGCATCCGCACACGCTCAAAGTTAACAAGGTGAGAATTGTACCACCAGTTTAAAATATAATAACCAACAGTTTGCTTGCATAGAACCCAAGTTTTATGAATTTTGCAAAATATTTGGTTTTGTGAATATTGCAATTCAGCTCAGTGTTTTGGGATTTTCTAAGGGATGACACCTACCTAGATATCCACAGAAGAACAAGAGTAATTGCCAAACTGATTAGTAGGGTAAACTAGTAAGAGGAACTAGATACTGGCCTTGTGCTGACGAGTGCAGTGTTGGAGACCTCCTGCCTCTCCATCGGATGCAGAGATGACTTGTTGAAAATAGGGAATGTGTTTTGTGGGGAAGGAATGAGCCTTTGAACTTGGTTTACCAGTGGACTTGTCATGCGTTGTAGTGATTATGATGATGATTAGAAAGCCCTTTTTTGGGTAAATGTGTTATTAGTGGTTATTTTAAACTATCAAGTTTATTTTGTATAGAATAGCTTTGCAATGGTATTTATAGTATTAAATCTTGTTTTTGTTGTTCCCTGAGAATTGTAATGTTCCTCATGTGACCAGTATCTGGCAGTAGCTAGTTTACTGGCTATTGATGTAGAGAAGTGTAGTCACGGTGTAAGAGAATACACTACCCATTACAGAGGGAAACAAAATAGGAAATTGGCAGCAGCATCTTCTTGATAGCAACTTTTACAGCTACGGGGGAAGCCTATGTTCAGGAGTAGACTTTTGATAGGCTGTAATGAGTGATGTAGAGAAAATGGACATACGGTGAAGAGCGGTGGGTGGGGTTGCAGGTGGAGCCGTGGAACTCGGTGCGCGTGACGCTGTCGGTGCCGCGCGCGGCGGCGGCGCGGCTGCGCGCGCTGGCGGCGGCGGGCGCGCCGCAGCTGCGCGCGCTCGGCATCCTGTCCGTGCAGCTGGACGGCGACGCGGCCGTCTCGCTGCGCCTGCAGCACGGCGCCGAGCTCACCATCAGCACCGACGCCGCGAGTGGTCAGTCTCACTTCCACTTACGTTTTTCCATTTTACCTAATATTATCGGCGTTGATAACTTGAAATAAACAACCTACCAAGTGCGAATCGGACTCATGCATGATGTGTTCTGTACCATCGTAATACACATCTGTAGTAGTAGTACCCTTTAATTTTTAATTTATTTTTAACAGTGGTAAAGGCACGCGGCAGCTTTTGCTGTCGCACGGATGGGTCGGCTTGAACCGGGCAACGACCTCACAGAATACCAGCGTGAACTAGATGATTACCTCTGCGTTGCGCTTGGTGAGTGCAGGTTGCCGAAGGCCCAATCCCCCCCCCCCCATAAAAATGGTAGCGGAATTAAATAAGACTACCCAGAGGGTACCAGCACCCCTGGAGAATCCCTTGCTGAGCATCCACGACCAAACTACTCCACTCCTGAGCGTGGGTGCTCAGGCTGCCCCGCGTATTCGGGGGGGGGGGGGGGCAAAATTCCGCTCGCGACTAATACTGCTCGGGGCAAGCAGAGCAATAAACCCAAGGCGACCCCTCAACATCAGGGGATTTCATTCCAACCTTAACGTTGTCCATTACCATCTAGAAACGGCGAAGCCGGCCTTGCTCTTTTTAACCGAGACTCAGGTGTCCTCTCCGGCCGGTCTGTCGGCCGATTGGGACGTCTTTTTCTGCATCCTACCCTTGGGGGCAGGTTTGCTTCTCGCCGGAAGATCCCAGCGTTGTTGCCGATTCTGTTGCTGATGTGGTACTTCAGGGTATGGAACTTTTTATTCCATCCTCTGTGGTGCCCATCGGAGGCAGATCCCAGCCATAGTTTTGTCGCTCCTGTAAAATAGCATCACGCCATAAGCAGTAGTGCTACCGGGCCTGGGCTGATGACGCATCAACGTCTCGGGATGTAAACACCAGCGCTCTTAAAAAGAAGTTTAATTCCGCCTCCAGGTCCTTTATATGCGTCATTGTGAAGGCAAGGTCTGAGCACATCGGCAGAATTGGCGAGAAGCTAGTTCGCCTTCTTTCGGGTACCCGTGCATTCAGGTCTCTCACCAAGGCTGTCCAAGGGAACTTCTGTCATCCATCTCTTCCATCTCTGCACAGAGAAGACGACTCACTGGCCCATGCCGCAAAGGAGAAACCCGATCTGTTGAGCTCTCTCTTTGCGTTCAACTCGACTCTAGATGACGGGGGGAACACACCGCCGACCATCCCGCGATGTGAGTGCTCCATGCCGGATGTGCGGTTTACACAGCGCTCGGTTCGCAAAGCACTCTTCTCCCTGGACGTCAGCAAGTTGAGTGGGCCCGATGGAGTCCCTCCCATAGTGCTGAAGACGATAGGAGTTGGCACTGGTTTTAACGCGTCTTTTCCGGTACTCCTACTCCCAAGGCGTAGTCCCGAATTCATGGAAGACAGCTTTGGTCCACCCGATCCCTAAAAAAGGCGACCGCTCAGACCCGTCCAACTACAGGCCTATCGCCATCACCTCCTTGTTCCTCATGAGGTACCTTGAGGATAACCAGCTGATTAGTGACCAGCCAGTACGGTTTTCGTCGGGGTCGATCAGCTGGTGATCTTCTGGTCTACCTCACTCATAGATGGGCGGAGGCAGTAGAGTCCAAGGGGGAGGCATTGGCCGTTAGTTTGGACATAGCGAAGGCCTTCGATCGGGTCTGGCACAAAGCGCTTCTTTCGAAGCTTCCTTCCTATGGGCTTCCCGAGAAATTGTGCAAATGGATCACCAGTTTCCTTGCTGATCGGAGCATCAAGGTCGTAGTTGACGGTGCATGCTCTGATTTCAAGCCTATCAACGCTGGTGTTCCACAAGGCTGCGTGCTATCACCAACGCTGTTTCTCCTGCATATCAATGATATGTTGCTAACTGGTAGCATTCATTGCTATGCAGACGACAGCACTGGTGATGCCTTATATGCCAATATTTCTCGAGAAAACGTCGCCGAGTACCGGGATAAACTTGTGTCTGAAGTCGAGTCTTTGCTGAACAAAGTCTCGGATTGGGGGCGACTAAATCTAGTCCAGTTCAATCCTCAGAAGACACAAGTTTGCTCATTTACCGCTAAAAGGAACCCCTTTGTCGTATCTCCTCAGTTTCAAGGCACTCCCCTTGCTGCCTCAGCTAGCATCGGAATCCTCGGCGTCGACATATCGAATAGTGTGCAGTTTCGTGGTCACTTGGAAAGGAAGGCCAAATTGGCCTCTAAAAAGCTTGGCGTGCTCAGCAGAGCGAGACAGTATTTCATGCCGGCACATCCCTTGTAACTTTACAAAGCGCAAGTTCGGCCTCACGTGGAATACTGTTCTCATCTCTGGGCAGGGGCATCCCAGGCCAGCTCCTTCCACTTGACCGCATCCAGCGCAAAGCGGTTCGAATCGTCGACGACCGAGTTCTTTCTGATCGGCTCGATACACTGGCGCTGCGTAGAGATGTTGCATCTCTGCGTATTTTATCGCATCTATCACGGGGAGTGCTCTGAGGAATTGTTCGGACTAATTCCAGTCGCTCAATTTCACCATCGCACATCGCGACAAAACTCGCGATACCATCCATACCATATGGATGATTAGCGGTCCACCACTGTGCGATTTAAAAGAAGTTTTCTCCCTCGCACAACTTCCTTGTGGAATCGATTATCATCAGCGATTTTTCCGGACCGATACGACTTAGTGACCTTCCAGAAAAGACCCTACTGTTAAAAGGCCGGCAACGCATCTGCAATTCCCCTGGTTCCCCTGGTGTTGTTGATGGGCGGCGGTAGTCACTTACCAACAGGTGAGCCGCATGCTCGTTTGCCCCCTCTTCTATAAAAAAAATTATTATTTGTTGTTATTGTGGCAACAGAAATACACATTCTGTGAATATTTCAACTGTACCTATCACAGATCAAGAGATACTACCAGCTGACAGACAGACGGACAGCGGAGGCTTAGTAATAGGGTCCCTTTGGTTATACTTCGGGTACAGAATCCTAAAAACCGGGATATGTTTGATATATTTACACTATACATTTGTTAGTGATTATTTCTACGGATCAGCGCCGACGCCGCGAACGGTCAGTACACTCACATTTTACCACACTTCCCCTTTACACTTTACTTAATATGTACATGTCGGCTTTTATACACTTCAAAGTAAAAGCGTTGTTTAATAAAGGTAGAATACAATAAAAAAAAGTTGACCGTCGCGAGACGTCCAGCAGATGTGAAATAGTTGATGGTACTTCACAATTAAAGAAAATCAATATAAATATAGAAAGGCAAGGAAGAAGAAGTGATAAAATTAAAAATATTGTACAATTTATATTGAAGTAGTCAATATAAACTATTAAGGATAACTCAAAAACTATTGGTCAGACCTTTATCAAATTTATATGGGACCACATGAAGAGCACCGGCTTTAAAGTAAAAAAAGAATCATCGAAAGCGGTTCACCTAGAAAAAAGTTATGAGGTAACACACATAAAAAAACAGTCGAATTGAGTACCTCCTCCTTTTTGAAGTAGGTAAAAAAAATAAAAGGCACACGCAGTATACAAATCACACAGAATCAACGAAGTGTAAAGAATACGCGCACGCACAACATAAGGGTGTCGAGAGGTGGCATGACGGCATAAGAGAGCGCCATGCCATTTGCCGTCACGGCATACGAGTCGGTTTTACTGCCAAGGCGCGCCAATAGATGTTTATATAAAAAGGAAATGTGCATTTATAATATAAATTTCGTGTATGTATGAACATATATTTGTTTTTGATTTTTTGGACTTTGAATTTTTGATACTTCATTTTTGCCATATTTCTTTTATAGTGACAACATATTATATTTTATGCAAATCTAGCAATTTTGTAGATTTCAAATCGATTTAGATATCAGTTATCAAAATACGACAATTACTTTTGAACGTATACATAGAGAAACAGACATGTATAACAGCCAAAAAGGGTCTTAAAACTATACCATAAAGAGAAGATTTATTTTTCCTTGTCTCTTAATATACTAAAAACATGTTTAAAACGCCTTAGTCTCCTGCGCGTTTTTTACTTATAGTTTTTACTTATAGTTATCTAAAATTTTATTTTCTAACTGCAGATGGCAACTCATCACGGCAAGCGAATTCCGAGTTGCTGGCAGGATTGGGGGGCATTGGGCGATTGTTGGGAGAGGGCGAGAGTTCGTCCACTTCAACGGACACTCCCGCTTCTTCAACTTCCACTCCAAGAGATAACTTCAAATCACCTAACACCGTTTGTCCGATGGACGGCAAGATACCACAGAACATTCCCACACCGACCACCGACCGCTGTGAGTTCCCGTTCGGAAGCATGACTCAAGCAAGAGTCATACATAGGAAGGAAAATACGTTAGGTATGTAAATGATTTGATTTATAAAAATATATCTAGTGTTTTTATTTTTGGCAATAATACTTTTTTGAACACTCGCGCGGCGAACAATAAGCGATCAAAGTAAGATTCCCTGTTCTCACTCAGCTGAAAATGTTAAAATTTTTCTAATAATGTTGAAAAAAAAAACTTACATGATATATAAGAAGAGCCTCAAACCCTGCTACCATGACTGTTTATTATATTTTTAAAGCTTAGATTACGTTTTACCAAAATCCATATCAATTCATCTATCATAAGAATTTATCGTGTTTATTTCAAGCGAATTAATCTCTACTTTTTGTTACGTAGGCTTAAGCGGTCCTGGGGTCCGTCCAAGCACAGCGATAGCGGGCACGGAGCAGTTTCCGCGCCCTTCCACATCCGCATTCGCGGGTCCTCCTCCGCCCTACCCCGCGCCTTCGCCCACGCCTTCACCCTCTCCTGCTCCCTCCCCGGCGCCACCGGCGCAGTCGCCCGCCTCAGCGTCCGCTTCCACTCCTACTGTGGCGATGTCCTCGCCGCTACTTGTCAACTTACTGCAGAACGATGCGCCCGCGCCACAACCCAGGGCGAAACCTGTGCCGCATCCAGCTAAATTGGATCGGTTGGAGGACGCACAGGTACAAATATAACGCAATTTATTCGATTATATAACTTTACTTTTCAAAAATATTAGATTAATTTTGGCGTAAAAGAAAATATACTCTTTGATAATTTCACATGTGCAAAGGACTTACTTAAATAAACGAAATCAATCCTAATTATCATTTGTGCACAATAGTTGTGATATTAATATTCTCACAACCGATATCAATTTTCGAAGGTGAACTCCGAATTCTATCAGAAGTTACCAAATGCACAGAAATTATTACAGTATAATGAGTGTACATACAACAGAGGTAATAACCTTCATCTACCCACATTTAATTTAACATTTATGTGATAATATCATAGTTAAGATTTTACAGATTTGTGAACCAATTTTTCCATCAACTCTATTATTAACTGACACTGGAAATTAACCACTCCTAAAGTAGAGAAATTTTCAGTCTTGAAATCGCATTGTAGCAGATCACAAAATGTCTTGCAACCTTATTACAAAATTGTTATAACACTATTGGCAAAAATTATTATTTTTTGATTGATTATGACCTCTATGTATAATGTTTTGATGGACTGCTGCCCACCACACAACGGTAACAAAAATAGTGTATTCTTGCATAATTGTTAATTTAAATTCAAACCCAGAACCTGTGACTCTGTAGTCAGGTAATCTAAACACTATGCAATACCATTGCTGTTGCTTAAGATCTATCATCAACATCAGCACGTAAAAGTTCACTGCTGGATATGAGCCTTTCCTATTGTAAGAAGGATTTGTATTAGTTACCACTCCAGGCAGAGCAGATTGATGATTGCAGTTCCAGACATATCTCATCTTTGACACTGCTGCCCGTAAACTATCTACCTACCGCCATCTATCGAAAGTCAAAAGGTTTTTCTAACATATCTCATAGTCGCCTTTTACTATCACGTTTCACGGTACGAGGTGAGGTGATGGATTCTTAACGCCACCATCACATGGCTCCTTTCTTTCACACAGGTGGAGTTAGCAGTGGGACGGGCGCCATTCGAATATCGAGGCGGACGCGCTTCGGTCCCCCGAGCACCGAGCACTCCAGCGCCACCTACAACACCCCAGTCCCCCTCGCTCCCGAGCCCCGGGCCTCCGCCCCCTCCGCCGCCCCGGGCGCCGGTCCGCGCCGCGCCCTTCATCCGGCGCGCCTTCCCGCCACGTCCGCAACACCACCCCTCGCCCGTGTACCGCAGCCCGGCACCAAACGCCACGGTGGTGGGACGTGCGCGATTCCCCTCCCCCAACTACGCGCCAGATACGTTCCCAGCTCCGCCGCCGTATCGTCAGCAAGGCGTCACGGTTGTTCAGCGGCCGAGACCTCCTCCTCCGCCACCCCCTCCGCCCCGGGTCACTCCCGAAGATCTGCAGGCGCTGTTGCCACCACCCACTACGTCCATGGATCAGAAGACGCAATCGAGCTTCCAGGTAACTTCAAGTTTTATTGGTATTTAACGTATCACCGATGAGAAAACATAAAAATATCCCTAGTCATAATAATAATTCATAAATTATCACATAGGGCGTGATATTTGTCAACAGCAGTTTTTTTATTGTTCTTTTGTGTCCTAAAAAAGATACTGCTGCCCATCTCCTATGTCAGTTTCCTCTGTCGCCTTTTATGACCCAAGTGGGTACTGTGATTAAAATATCTCTAATGTAACTGAGTGCTTCCCTTGACCCGCACCAATAAAGAACAAGTTGAAATGCATCATTATACCTGTTTTTATTCACACATCCATGCTATATAAAATAAATCAATTATTGTAGTTTTGCCGCTCTTATTTGGATGATTCAGCTTGACCAGGGAAGGACCACGCTCTCCCAGAATTCCAGCATGAAACAGCAGAATAATGCTGCTGTGTTTCGTATGGTGAGGGTTAACAACCGGAGACGCTTTTTACTAGTAAAGAGGCATTTCATCTTAATCCTTAGTGGTAACAATGCATCTGCATTTTGTTTCTTAACCAGAGATAGATTGAGATGTATATGGGCCACATCATCCATTTGCCATCAGGTGGAATGTGCGGTAATTTGTCACCCTTAAAGACAAATACTCAAATGTTACTCATTTTAAGATGTTAAGTCTTGTTGTGTCACAGTCACTTTGACTTAAAGTGATAGCGATAGCATGAGACTTAACGGAATCTTAAAATTTAGCAGTTTGAATATTTGGGCATTATTCAATTTAAAAAAATCGTGTGTTAAAATGAAGGTAACTATGATTCTCTCTAGAGTTACAGAATAACATTGCTGGTCTGAACTGAGTGCTTAAAAGATAGCTTAATTTAATTAATGATACAATATAAATCGAGATTAAAATATAAATTTACAATAAAATTAAATTTGGAATGTTTTTGCTGACCATCGAAACTTAATATAAGCCGCCATTATTGTTTCCATCTATGTTTTAGATTCGTATAAAAATTGCAAAAAGAAATTATCATCTGTTCTATAAAGTCAATTTAAGAAATACCTATATATTCTACATAATATGGTTTCTGCTACAGGAATTTCAGAGGTATCAGCAGCAGTATAATGCGAGACAACGGGCGGCATCGCGGGCAGCTTCACAAACGGATTGGAATGAGCCCTATCGGGACACATTAGGGCTCTCCATTCCCGATCTACCCGACAATTGTGATTTGGATCAGTTGTTACCATCCTTGGGAGCCGACCTAAACCTAGATGATTCTGCTCTTTCGGCCATCTCAGAGCTTGATGCCAACACCAAGCTAGACCTTCTTTATGATCCCCAACAACAGGATGGGTTGCCCAATGCTAGTGATTCAAATCCTGATGCACTGTTGCAAGAAATTACCGGTGGCCAGTTTTCTAGTACGAATCTGAATGGACCATATAACAATGAGTTAATTCCAAGTACAAGTCATTCAGTGAGTAATGTGCCTTCAAAATCTTCGGAAAATTTTGAGAATAACGAGTCGAGTTTCATGCCACCCCCACCTGTTCCACAGCAGTCAACATCTAAGTTCGTAAATCCACATCAAAATACCTCCCCAAACCCTGCAATGGTTAAAACCCAAAATCCGCCATTTAAATCTCCTCCAAATGCCACTTATTCTATGTCACCAAATAGTATGAATTCCGATAGAGTAAATATTAGCCAATCCTCAATGCCTCCTCCAATGAGATTGCCTGTTAGAGCAACTACTTCCGTAGCTACAGCAACTGTAGGCTCTCAGGCTACTGCGCAAGAAATTGAAGAACAAAGTAAGCAGTACCTCATAAAAACACTTATGAGGGATGATGATATTCCACCTCCCAAAGAACAGGAAAAGAAAGTTGAGGAAGTAACAGTTGCTCAATGTAAATTGAAAGATAATTTGACAGAGACACCAGAAGTTTTCGGGATAGCAAAGATAACAGAAGATGATAGTAAAAGGGAAGATGATACAAAGTTACAAAATAAAATTTTAAAGAAGGACAAAGATGATAAACTGCTGGCGCAGAAAGGAGGGAAGCCAAGAACAGGGGGGGCGAAAGAGAAACCCGCTACATTAAAAGACAAAATAGTGCGCGATGGAAAGTCTACCAAAGTTGCCTTACCGCGACCACAAGTCGCGAAACCCGCCACGCCTGTGAGTGAAGCACCAAAATCACCCACAGGCGAGAAGGTTGATTCTTTTTCTTTAAAGTTGAGGTTAAAGTTAGATAAAAATGAGCCCGTGGTACAGCCTGTGTACAAGGCTGATATCAGTTTTGTAAATTTACAATCGCAAAAAGAGGGATTATCTAAACCAACCGAAGGAGGTGAACTAAGAGTTCCGCCTTTACATATCAGCCTTAGAGGTCGTAACTCAGCGGTCATAAAGAACTCTAAGAAGGAAAAAAAGAAGTTCAGTCCAGGAGATTTGCATATGAAGAAGGTAAAAATAAGAAAATCCATAGAATCTGATGACAAGTCTCATAGACGGGATTCAGAGGAGTCTCTTGCGACAAAATCTGGAGACAGTACTGAGAACACAAAGACTGATGAGTATTTACATGTCAAAAACATGAAGCTAAACAATCATTATGCAGAGGGAGAGACAATTAAAACTGAGATCACTGGAGACAATAATGTTGTTTACAGAATGAAAACAATATCGAAAAATGCTCACATTGTCACTAAATCTGCACTGACTGACTGCAAGCTACTAAACAATAAATTGCAATTAGACAGTTTAAAAATGAAAAAGAAATCAAAATTTGTCAGTGAAGGTGGAAAAGTCATAGAGAAGGAAAGAGATAAAGATTGTATAAATGATTTATTGGAAAAAGAAGGCAAATATGCTCAGAATGAGGGTTACAGAGAGACTCCAAACAACTATGAAGCAAAAAAGAAGTTACCAACTCCAAAACTAGAGAAAGAAGGTGTTGCAAAATGTGATAATTTGAAGTCCAGTGAAGTAAAGACTGTACAGTTAGATACAGTGTATAATGAAAGTGTTAAATGTGGTGCTAGTGAGCTGGACAGGGTTAAGTGTCAAAAGGGTTTAGAACGGACGCTTAGTGCGGATGATGTGGCGGACACAAAGAAGTTCGACACTCACAGGGCTAGTGAAGACAACAAACTAAAACGGACACTCACTGACAGTGCTGTTACCTCACCCAATGGACTGATCTCTTCTGAAAAGAAACGAAAGACTAGCCATAGTTCCTGTCCAGGTACGTACACTAACCTATTTATGCAACTTTGACCTATTTTTATGTTGTGTTGTAACACAAGAGATATGCACAAAACAGAGTTACGTCAAAACTGTTGTTCAAATTATGATTTTTCAGTATTCAATATGTTAATAGAAGACAGAATTGGTTTTGTTGCCTAGACCCTCTTAACTATTTCTCCTGCTAAATGGCAGTGTATCCAAAACTAATTATAGTGCACAATATGTTAATAGAGGACATGTATGACTTGGTAGCTCTTTTAATCTGCGCGCGATTTGACTGGTGTAACCTTGCTGTAGTTAATCGAAAATGACAGTCCTAGGGCAAAGTACGGTTAGCAAAAAAGTTTTAATGTATTATTTTCAAGGTGTTAAAATACCAACTTCATTCCTATTTGAAATATCTATCAAATGCCTTCTTTCGACATCTTACTATTTACACCACGGGTTTGCCGACGCTACAGATGGTGGGTGGTCAGTGTTTACCTTGGTTCCAAAAGATTTTAACATTTTCCTAACACCAGTTTTCTCATCTCCCCTGCCACATATATCGTGCACTACAGATGGCACCTGCTGGTTAAGGTTATATTTCAAAAGTAATGATTACCAGATGCACTAGTTTTCAGTCTTTTCTCTTTCTTGGGCCTTCAAGCATTTGTTTTTTTTAATTCTCCATATATTCTATTATTATTTATTTCACAGAAAGACTTTTTCATAAATAAGTATCTATCTTCTCTGACCCTTTGCTATAAATAATTTCTCTGTCACTAATACTTCCATGTGCGCTTGGCACTGTTTTGTGGATATCTTAAAGTAAGTAAAAATGTCATACTATAAGGCAAATGTTGAATAACATGGAATAAACACAATATTTAAGCAGCCGTTATAACTATTGTATACATAATAGATATGAACATTAATACTCAAATAATAATTATTATCACCAAAATATTAAGACGGAGTGAGTAGAACTATTCAATGAAGCCCAATAAAGAAGTAATTGAAAGAATAAAATCTAGTACTCTATTTTCGATTTTCTGTTAATTTTTTTTTTGCAACCACTACTTGGTTAGAATTTTTGTTTTGCTTTTAGGACACAAGTTTCTGATTGCCATGTTTATTATTTTTGTATTTAGTATGAGCCTACGCCGTGTAGTGGCGATCAAGAATATCCACTACCCCATATCTTCCCGTGGGTGTCGTAAAAGGCGACAAAGGCAAACAGGCAGGAGATGGGCAGCAGCATCTTCCTGATAGTAGCCGAAATTACAATAAAAAAAGAACTGCGGTTGCCAACCCGCTCGCCAAGCGTGGCAACTATGGCAAATACCCCCCTATGAAGAGAGTAACAAAGAGACGGCCCCCAGTCCCCGGCGGCCCCGCTATTCCTGGCTACGGTGGCGACCATGGTAACGGTGGGGCAGGGGGTGCTAAGAATCTCCGGTGGAGGTTCGGTTGCCACCTTAGACGACTCGACCTGGCAACGTACAACGCACGCACCCTGAGGACTGACGAGAAGATCGTGGAGCTGGAACAAGAGATAGACAAGTTACGCTGGCATATTATAGGATTATCCGAAGTCCGAAGAGAGGGGGAGGACACGGTAATCCTCGAATCCGGCAACTTGCTCTGTCACCGGGAGGGCGACCATCTGTCCCAAGGAGGTGTCGGATTTATCGTCCACAAGTCTCTCATTAACAACGTTGTAAAGATCGAGAGTGTGTCGACGAGGGTTGCGTACCTTATTCTCAGAATCACCAAACGGTATTCGCTGAAGGTCATACAGGTTTACGCACCAACCTCGGCACACCCCGATGAGGAGGTGGAGGAAATGTATGAGGATATCTCTAGAGCCATGCATTCCTCCAAAACCCAATATACGGTGTTAATGGGAGACTTCAATGCAAAACTAGGCACAAGAGAGAATGGTGAGCTGAAAGTAGGGAAATTTGGAATAGGGTATCGGAACACAAGGGGCCAGCAACTGGCCGACTTCATGGAGAAAGAGGAACTCTTTATGATGAACTCTTTCTTCCAGAAGCGGCCCCACAGGAAGTGGACCTGGTCGAGCTCCGATGGTTCGACAAAAAATGACATTGACTTCATTATGACGACCAGACGGCAACTGTTCAGTGATGTCTCCGTGATCGCGAGGGTGAAAACTTGTAGCGATCACCGAATGGTTAGAGACACACTGAACCTAAACGTTAAGTTGGAGAGGTCTCGTCTAATGAAGTCAACGCTCCATCCCCCTCGTGCTCTGTTCCAAAGTCCCGAAACCTTTCAGCTCGAGTTACAAAACCGTTTTCAGTGCCTAGAAGACTGCAATGAAGTGGACGATATGAATGACAAGCTCGTGGAAACTGTCCATGCGGTCGGAGCTAAGTTCTTCAAGACCCGCCGCAGAAGAACACAAAAACTCTCCGATCACACTCTCAATCGCATGGCTGTTCGACGGGAGATGAAGCTACAATCTTCAACAGATTTGACAGCATACAGGCAACTGAACAGACAGATCTCCAAATGCATGCGGCGGGACTTACGCAACTTCAATACAGCCTGTATTGAAGAAGCGATCGAGCGGAACCAGGGCTCCAAAGTCTTTGCCTGAGATCTGTCTGCCAGAAAGAGCCAATTGTCAAAGCTGAGGACCGAGTGTGGCAGCATCGTTTCCGGGGCACCTGAGATTTTGAGTGAGATTGAGAGGTTCTATGGGCAGCTGTACACGTCATCGTTGGAGCAACACGCAAGTGTGAGTAACGATCCAAGAGCGAGTCTTATCCGACACTATTCCGAAGATATCCCGGACGTCAGTCTGAGCGAGATTAGAATGGCTCTCCAGCACCTTAAAAACGGCAAGGCCCCAGGCGAGGATGGAATTACAGCGGAGCTTCTGAAAGCGGGTGGAAAACCGGTACTTGAAGTCCTTCAGAGGCTCTTTAATTCCGTTCTCCATGGTGGCATTACACCGGAGACGTGGAGCAGAAGTGCGGTGGTCTTGTTCTTCAAGAAAGGTGACAACGCTCTCTTGAAGAACTACAGACCGATTTCCCTTCTGAACTGCGTCTACGTGATGTTTTCGAGAGTCATTACGAATCGTCTCGCGCGCAATTTTGACGACTTCCTGCCTCCCGAACACGCCGGTTTCCGAAAGGGCTTTAGCACCATAGACCACATACATACCCTTCGGCAAGTTGTACAGAAGTCCGAAGAGTACAATTTGCCAATATGCCTGGCGTATGTGGACTATGAGATAGCCTTTGATTCCGTCGAAATTTAGGCGGTGCTGCAGTCCTTTCAGCGGTGCCAAGTTGACTGTCGGTATATCGAAGTGCTGAAGTGCTTGTACAGTAGGGCTACGATGGCTATCCGAGTACAGAACCAGAGTACGAAACCTATCCAATTGCAGAGAGGTGTAAGACAGGGTGACGTTATATCCCCGAAACTCTTCACCGCTGCATTGGAAGACGTTTTCAAGCTTCTGGACTGGAAAGGATACGGTATTACATCAATGACGAGTACATCACTCACCTTCGATTTGCCGATGATATAGTCCTTATGGCAGAATCGCTGGAGGATCTAAGCACCATGGTCAATGACCTCAATAGTGTCTCTCAACGGATAGGTCTTAAGATGAACATGAACAAAACAAAGATCATGTCCAATGTCCATGTTACACCTATGCCGGTAGTTGTTGGGAGCACTAAGCTCGAAGTTGTTGACGAGTATGTTTACCTGGGACAAATAGTCCAACTAGGTAAGTCCAACTTTGACCGAGAGGTCAATCGACGGATTCAACTCGGCTGGGCAGCGTTCGGGAAACTACGACACATCTCGTCAGACATTCCTCAAAACCTTAAAACGAAATTGTACAACCAGTGCATGTTGCCAGTGATGACTTACGGATCTGAGATGTGGCCCTTCACTGCCGGCCGTATGAGGAAGCTCAAGGTCGCTCAGCGAGCTATGGAGAGGGCTATGCTCGGAGTTTCTCTGCGTGATAAACTTAGAAATGAGGATATCCACAGTAGAACCAGAGTGACCGACATAGCCCAACGGATTAGTAAGCTGAAGTGGCAGTGGGCCGGCCATATAGCTCGAAGAACCGACAACCGATGGGGAAGAAAGGTTCTTGAGTGGCAGCCTCACACCGGTAGGCGAAGTGTAGGGCGACCCCCCACGAGATGGAGTGGCGACCTGGTAAGACATGCAGGAAGTCGATGGATGCAGGTGTCTCAGGACTGTGCTTTGTGGCATTCCTTGGGGGAGGCCTATGTTCAGCAGTGGACTTATGAAAGGCTGTAATGATGATGATGAGCCTTACTCATAAAAATCAACATTAATTTAAGAAATGCTTACAATATAAAGGGATGGGTATAAAGATATTAATACTTAATTTAAGTAAACAGTAATCAACAATTATAAGTAGGGTTGTACCTATGTGTACGCACCTTAAGCTGGATTTACTTACTAATTCTGATTGATCCATCTGTCTTATTACTTTGATGTGAACAAAAATATTTCTATATTTTAAAGGTTACTTAATTATGTGTTTAAATTATAGAAATAACTCAATAAAATATATTTATAGACATAACCTTTAGCGGTTATACACATACTATGATGGTAATTGTGATAGGAGTGCATATCAGTTTTTCTGCCTATCAGGCAGTGAATGATATTATATACATTTAATTGAACTATCATTTTCTAACTGTGGAAATATTCTTCTATCTCTAATATATGCAATGTAATTACTGTAAATAATATTACTCAACAATTTAATTAAATAGATATAATCTCTAGCCTCAACAATTTTGCGTATTGAACATGTAATGTACAGAAATTCTTATTTATTGTTATGAAAATATGTTAATTGTAAATATTTTAAGAAGCATTTTAAATATATAATGAAATAAAATATTTAGAACACTAAGAGTGATTGTATTTTTTGCCAATCACAATTAAAAGTTGTAGCTAGAATACTAAATATATGAAATACTTAATATTGTGGAATGGATATTCTTTCCAAAAATGAATAAAACAAATTCAGCTTGTTAGCTTGGCAAATTGTCTGTTTGTTACAGCAGCACATAATAATTGGATGGGTTTGAATGGAAGTCTTAGTATCATGTAGTTTCTTAAAACAGTACATCTTGTTTACCACATTGGAGAATACGGCAAAAAATAAACGAAAATGAAGGCGCGCAAAATTGTTCTAAAATACATGTCCTATTTAGGGCTGAGGGAGTAAATTTTGATATATAGTTTGCTTACTGGTATTCCAGATCCCCCTGGATCAACAAACGTAGGCACAATCAGGGGCAGTCGGGTGGACTCGCCCCCACCCGCGTCTAGTCAGCGTCCTGGGGCGGTTTCGCCGCGGCGAAAAGAGAGGCCGAAGGACAAATCCTACTGCAAACTCGTCGCCGAAAGGACAGCACGCCCTGACGCCGACAAGTTTAGCAACCGGTCGCCCAACTCCCAAGCGCAAGGGGAGGACTCTGGAATCGAATCTATGGATGCGTTGTCGGAGAAGTCGCCCAATCAGGCCAGCCAATCACCACCTGGACCGCAGAGGAAAGAACGGTTGGATATGCCCCGCTCCACCAGTCCAACATCAGTACAAAGGATAATAGGCGTTATAGACGCACCCCCTGCCTCTGACGAACTATTAGAAAGGCTCTCATTAGCGACGGGGCAACCGCATTACGACCCTGGACCCCCCGATATTGACGATTTAGGCGATATTGAAGCAGAATTGGCTAAAATGCATGCAGATCATATAAATGGCGATGACACTGTGAGAAGACCGCTCGATGAACAGATGCAGACCAAAGAAGTGAAAAGGGAGCCCACACCAATTCTCAGGGATAATGAGAAACAAAGTCAAAGTAATAACAGAAGTGAAAGCAAAGAAGAGAAAATAGATGAAGTGAAACATGAATGCAGTATTGCTCAAAAGAATGAAACATGCGGTAAAGATGAATGTATGTCACCTAAAAAAGAAAAGGGAGTTGATGATTTTGATCACCTACCTAGCAGAATGTCTCCACCGCTTTACACTTATTCTAACCAAGAGAAGATCTGTTCACCTGAATGTAAGGATGAGAAAATCGTGTCAGAAAATGGTGAAACTTGTACAGAGTCATCTAAAGATAAGGAACCGAAAATAGAACGACTACCACTCAAAGCGGATTTTCCTGATAAAAGTTTGCTTGAGCAACTACTTATTGAAATTCCTACACCTGACTACACAGGTAAAAGACCAGAGTCACCATCTCCATCAGCATTAGAACGCGTAGCGCGAAGTACGGTTCGAACAAGATCGAGCAGCAAAATGAACAGCCCAGCTGATGGACCGAAAACACCAAGGCTTAGTCCCGGGGTGAACAAACTAGAAAGATCAGATTCCCCAGCATTACAGCCCAGGAATTGTCTTCGTAGTGGGTCTGTAGATAAAGTAAGCCCGCGAAACGTTAATTCCGTCCCCGCGCCAGCTAAACCTGGTCCAGGAGCAAAAAGAAAACGTAGGGAGTCTGAAAGCTCTTGTGCGTCCACCATTAGTTGCGAAGAGGGGTTATCTCCAGCAGGGCGCCCTAAGAAAAAACCGAGAAGGATCGATCAGAAACCAGCCAATGCTGTAGTTGTTGCAAGTGGTAAAGTGAAAAAGGAGTCTGACAGTGACAGTGATGAGCCTTTAATATGTAAAGTGAGGGGTAAGACGGGGAAGGGGTTGAAACCAGTTGGAGTAAAGGCAGTTAAGGGCGCTGAAGGTGTAGGCACGAGGCGCTCCGTGCGTCACGGCCCTACGCCTCTGACGCCTACGACGCCTAACACGCCCGCAGCGCCTTCGGCGCCACCAAATAACACCGCCGTCCGACGGAAAACGCGAAGTGCAGGTAAGTTTCAAAGGATTTGTGATATATTTTTAAATTACCTTGGTTAATCATGACCACAACAAAATTTAAATGCTGTGTATTTGGCAGAGATGAGAAATATGCTAGATTGGTGACACAGTGACTAAGGGTTTGATTGCAGGTTTTTTTTTCTATATGGAACTAATATTTGAATGATCTACAAATAATTGTTTCAGATCTGGATGTTCGTCCATGAACAATATATGTTTGTAAAACACCATGGTATGGGAGAATTTTGTAGTGTAGGGCAATAATATATAAAAATAAAAATAGAATATTATGTAATCATATCATTCTTATTTCAATTTTTCTGATTTTATGATCAGATATATTTAGCTGTTATCTTAAATAATATAATATAAGCTGTGGTAGCTTAGCTGCTAAGCGCTCACTGTAAACCAACTATACTATTAATATCGCTGCCATGCTGCAGTTATATTAGTAGTATAGTTGTAGCATGAATGGGTTGGCTCGACCGGGGAAGGACCACGCTCTCACAGAATACCTGCTTAAAATGGCCGCTTGACACTTCTGTGTTTTGTATGGTGAGTGTAGAGAACTGGAGACCCATTTTACTGGAAAAGAGGCATTCCATCTTAATCCTCACGGGTGACGACGCATCTGCATTTTGATTCGCAAACGAGGATAAATGTAGATGTCTATGGGTCACAGCTACCACTTACCATCAGGTGGACTGTGGGCTCGTTTGTCCCCTTATTCTATAAAAAAAATGTGAACAACCAGGGTTCGATCCCCATCACTATTTCATTTATTGTTAATTGTAATTTTAAGTGCTAATTTACCACATGCTCGGCAGTGAAGAAAAACATCGTGAAGAATCCTGCATATCTGTAAAACAAATTATTTCGACGACATGCGAAACCCCCATGCGAAATGTGGAGTAGCGCATCGGACAAATAGCACTATAACACTCTCAGCAATGAGAGAAGTGCTGTGCCTGCTGTGGGACGCATATAGCCTGTAACTTAACACTTCCACTGTCCGGGTTTTCAGACACAATAGTAAAACAATAGCAATGACCTATATATAGTGCATGGGACAGCGAAAGGGTTAACTTTTCTTTAAATCTAATCTAACATGAAATTAAAAATTTATAAGTAAGACTATCTTTCTGATATTACCTCTTGTGCAGTTGATAGCTTTCAACATATTATAGTGCCACCAATTTATATGCTGATGAAGGCACTCTTATGTCTATTATTATGTATTATTATAAGTGGTGTCATATTTTTTTGTTTTTAACCAGAAAATGCCAACTTTACCTACACCACAGAATAAATAATAGTACAAGAACAAAAGGATCACTCTCTGATAGCAAACTTGCGAGTTTAAACCTAGTTACAACGACGGTAATGTTCATAATGCTTTGCATGCCTCGGATACGACCTTCGTTAAAATAGCCTACCAATTGTTGTGGCGCGCATATTAAATCAAAATGGACCTTACATCCGCGTGCGATAGTCTGTAGCCCGTTACGCGCCTTTCTTAAGCTCGCTCTTACTGTAGGGTTAGGTGTTGTAAGAAAACAAATTGAATCCTTTGATATTAGTTGTAGAGATGCGCAAAACAGTGCGTTTTAAAGTGATGTAATATGACATTACATTTCGTACCGAGGAATGTTACGTTATACCATGACTCCAAACATGACGCGTAATGACACTATACAGGATGGCTATTGTAATGAAATGCTCGCGTTGTAGAAGATATGCTTGCGTTGTGATGTGACAATTGCCAAACGCAATGCCCCCTCGCTACTCGCTGCGCCGGAATGAACACTTGATTTTGTTATAATATTCATAAAGTTGATTTTTCTTCACACTTTATCCCAATCTACTGAACTATTCAATCAAAATGGCATTCCGGGCTTATGACTGATAATAAACATAGATTGCAATATTGATTATTGACCAATACTATGAATATTGGCATATTTAAAAATCGATTTAATTTACAGTGATTGTGGGTTTTTTTTATTTGTTTTACATTAATTTTTTTTAAATACCTAACGGTTTTGTTTTTATTTACATGGTACTAGCATTTTTAACTACAACTGATAAATAATAATTGTAATAGTTTTTTTTGTCTTTAGACATTCAAGAAAGTGATATAGAAAGCAGGAGACGTAACAACATCATAAAAACATAAAATTGAATAGCGTGTGAATATTTGGGCAATAAAGCCATAAAGTACGAGATGCATAATTTAAAGATCACTAGGCGGTCCGCGCTGTTAAAAAACATTAACCTTAATACATGAATAATACGGTTCTAAGTCTAAATTCACTTATTTCTAACTTCATTTATTTCTTAACCAGCCGACCGCCGCTTGCTCCTTCTCGCTTACACACAGCGAAAATTAACGAGATAATATGTACACCGAAGAAAGCGCTGCTGCGCGTCATGTTTGAGTGTCATGTGCCATTTTTGATTTGGTCGAGTCATGTGTAATGCTACAGTACGCGGTCGGGTTATATGACGCGTAATGCAACAATCGCATTACTTACACAAGTCTATTAGTTGGTAGTAGAATACACTGAGGTGGTATGCAATGTTTTAGTAATTTGCTGATAATAAGAACATTATTCAATGTGAGGAAGGTTAGTGTGCAACATCGAGAAAAATGAAGATTATAACAACGTGAACGTTTTTGAAACTCAGATAATTTACCTACTTACCATTTTTAACTGTCTTTAAAAAAGGAGGAGGTACTCAATTCAACTGATTTTTTTTATGTTTGTTACCTCAGAACTTTTTTATAGATGAACCGATTTTGATGATTCTTTATTTATTTGAAAGCTGGTGCTTATTATTTATAGGCCATATAAATTTGATCAAGATCTGACCAGTAGTTTTGGAGTTATCCTTAATAATGCGTATTATTATTGAAGTTGAATTTTTAATTTCATTACTTGTCTCTCTTCCTCTTTTTAAAAAACCTCCACACTAGGATTTTCTTCTGTATCACGGAGGCAGTATGTATGATTTCACAAGGACAAACATCCAGACCCAGAACAATTATTTGTAGGTCATACAAATACTTATTCCGACCGGGATTCGAATCCGCGGCCCTTAGCGCGGCAATTCATTGTTAGGTCAATGCGCTCCGGAGCCGTCACTTTTCTGTTTCGCATTTTTTGATATTTACAAACATGGGACATGCGACGGCATTATTATTGAAAGAGTGGCAATGAGATTTTCAATTTTTTTTTATCTTCCAAGTGTTAAACTATCAGCAATATATGATCTTACATTAGTAGGCAGTTACTAGTACTGGGAGGTCTACTTACACTGAAAAGACTCTATTCCTTTTGTCATTTAAGCACCCTTATGCTATGCAGTACCTTTTGGCTTTTTGAGTGGCCATACTTGAATAAAAACTCAAAAATAAATATCAAAAGTGCCTAAATATTCTTAGGAGAAAAATACTTTTTTGTTAACGTAGAGCGCGCGCAGCTTGAGCGCGCGTGTGACAACCTCACGGAATTAGTCTCTTGTGGGGGGCCGCGCAGCGTAGGTATATTTCATGCCTAAAGCGTGGAGAGGGACAGACCTGCCTACACATCATGCACACTATCATTAACCTGACGGATGACAAAAAAGTTATAGGAAACAATACCACTGTAAAGATTCAGTTCTTTGCTCAATTAATTCAGGCAAGAGCTTTGCCAAACATGGTAAATATGGGTACATATCTATTACAATAAAAATTATTGAAAACTTGTGCATTCTTGTAAAGTCTAAGACATGGGCAGTGGACCTAAAATAGCTGGCAAAGAACAAGGAGAATCGTAATCGAAAGGTGTAGCAGGTGTACTAGGTTGTAGGTAGGTTGCATCTTTTGTCTAGGAGTCCGGGCTAGGCATCACCATCTTACTTATTTTTGTCGCTAAATTACAGTGATTGTCCTGCTGTTTCTGTCTGAAGGGTGTAGAGAGCCACTTTATTTACTGGCTGTAAGGCATTTCATCTTGACCTTGAAGTGACAACGATTCTGTAGCATTTTACCACCAGACAGACTGTAAGTTTGTTAGTCGTTTCAATTTTATAGAAATATCAGTGATCCATCCTGGCTTCGCACGGATGATTTCTGGATCTCGACAACAGCTCAAATTTGAAACTAAACCATCCTGGGACCCAATCAAACTCACAAAAAAATCAAAATCGGTCCAGTCGTTTAGGAGTGCAGGCACATCACACAGACAGAAGATTATAATAAAATAAAAGTAATGGTTCACATGAAGTAATTATAATGATGAACGTTTCAGTGGGCGAAGGCCCCGGAGCGAGTGTGGGCGCAGTGCGGCGGAGACGCGCGTCCCGCGACGGCAAGTGACGGCGGCGGCGCGCGGAGCCCCGCCCCGCGCCGCCGCCCGCCGCCCCGCTGCCGCTACAGCTGCCGCTGCCGCTCCCGCTCCCGCTCCCGCTGCCGCTGCCGCTCCTCTACCCGCTGCCGCTCGACTGACACCACGCATCGCTACCTCCCCGCTACATACACAACTGTCTCTATCACTGTTGACAGTAGCCAGATAGTCTCAAGCGAGGCCACCGACACGAGATAAAGAATGCAAACAACCTTTCTGAAGTTCATAACATTTTTCACGTGTCTGGGTTGTTAATAATTAAAAAATTCTATCTATATTTTCTTCTTCTGTATTCATAGTTCAGAAATCAACAATAAAAAACAATTATTATAATGTGTTAAGATTAAGAGGAACAAACTAAAGCAATACTTTCATGAACAAACACGAATTCATAAAATAACTACTACTATTGATCATTTAATGTTATTGCATGCGAGAGAAAAGTACAGCTACTAATAAAATCAGTTGTGCAACTAAATGAAAGTTAACATGCTTATGTTCTTTATCTGCTTCGATGGCCTCACTTCACGCTCAAGGAAAGTTCTCAAATTAAACAAAACCAATTGTGGATAAAGTTTTTGGCGGTTATAATTATAATACATTATAAAATTACATACTGGCTGTGTCTCTTGCTAAATTTTGGTTTTTCTAGTTGGAGAATCTCAGCAATTTTGTACTGTGTTCACAAGTTTGTGCAATAAAAGCAAGAGAACTGTGACAGTGAAATTATAATCAGCAAATGTGTGTTGTGTGTTTGTTAGTTTAACGTTTTAACTGTGTTGGGTCTATAACAATATTAATCTAATGAAGTGTTCAAAAACTGCAGTTGCCCCATACCGGATATCACCAGAACTCGATCCTCTTGTTATTTTTAACTAGTGAACAAATGTTACCATTCACTATAAAGCACTTGACGTTTTCATTTAATTGTAAGTTAATTTTCTCTATCGAGTATTTTTAAGAACGTCGACGTATTTTTACCACAATACGGCTAAACTCGTTTGAAGAGCTTAAGCCAAATTGAGAGCCTTAGTATAGTGACTAGAAATGTTTCATTATTGTACAAAAGAGCACTCGACTTGTAGGCACATTGTTATAATAGAATAAATACCCGAGAGATATAAAAATAAATGCATAAAGTTTTAAAAGATATTTTCATACGTTTTTGCACGTAACTTGTAATGTCGTTATCGGTGATGTGAACCGCGTGTAGTTTTTATTCGTATTTACGGGAATCCGCCATTTTGAATATGTTAATGTTCTTATATTTATTGACACTAAATTTAAAATGACAGCGCTTAAATCGAAATGGCAGTTTCCCGCGTAATGCATTCGCCGCTATTACGATGTAACATTAGCGTTTTATATTTAAGGAATTCACGACCAATAATTGTAATTTTAATGTGACACGAAACTTGAATAATTTCTTAGTGAAATGATAATAAATAATTGTGACTGAGTGTTTCAACAGTTTGTCTGTTTGGGCTTCCAGTATACTACACTATTTGGTTTGATGCCCCGATTTTCATTTTTAATTTATCGTTTTTTTAAACCCAATCTTTGACATTTATTTTTTTTAAACATAAATTTTATATCTAATTATTTCTTTTAAACCAGTGATCCTTGAGGTAGAGTAAGCTAGACTTTCATTTTGCACTGTACATAATTGATGAATTTTGAAAGAAATTATATTTCTTTAGTAGTTGCTAGTATTTATTATCACAATATTTTAATATACAGTCACTTATTGCATAGATTAAATATATTTTTCGATTCTTATCGAATCATGTGGATGCTATGCTCATCACTTTATAAAACTTATTGCGTATAGCAATGATCAAATTGGATATTTCAAAATTGAACCTTGCAATGTTTGTTTCGTTTAAAAAATTTAACGTGTTCATAGTGTAGCGCGTGTGAAAGCGGTGAGCAGTATCAAAATTAATATTATTGCATACGTTTATTTTGCGGTTCCTACGCCCGAGGAGGATATCCAAAGCAATAATTTGTGGATGTGATTCTTTGATTACTTTTATAGAAAAATGATTGATAGAATTGACCGCCTTACGTCCTCTTGATAGATCTCAACCTGCACCCAGTTTCCAGTATTTTATGCCCTGTTTTCCATTCTTACCTACTCACTTACCCCTTCTATAGCCTCACACTTTCGTTGTTCAAAGGGTTTATCCGTTATGTCGGCAGTGATACAATACAAATGTGTTTAGTACGTACGTATTATGTATAGTGTATTGAGAATATTTTATAATTGTAAAACTACATTGCCTGAAATAGTGCCCTATTAACGTGTGCCGTGGTTGAAGCTGTGGGTATTACTGCGTTTACTGTTAATAATATATTATTATTAGAGCGGAGCGGCGGCCGGCCCTCGAGCACGGTGAGCAGAGCGCATACAATTTGCGTAAAAGAGAACTTTGTTTTTATTTTCGTTTTAAATTATTAGTTTAAGAGAATAATCGGTGCGGCCGATGTACAATCTCTTGTAAATTTTTATGTATAGATGGGGAAATTTAATATATGTTACGTGTTAAGTATTTTTCATTTCGATCACTTTTAATTAGGGAGTTTGTCGGTTTTTAGCATTGTACATACCTGTAGAGCGCCATGCTAACGGCCGTTGTTGCGGACCGACTCCTGTAAGTAGGAATATGAAGCCTTGTACTATAATATAAAGAGTATGAATCGCGTGTACCATATATTAATAGTGAACGGACTCTCAAAACCTAGCTCTGTATATTGGGTGTATAGTAATCCTTTTTAGTTTATTGTTTTTGTTTTTTTTTTCGACTAATGGATAGTAATTTATGCTGATGAAATATCTATATTATACATTTATATATAACTTTGAAGGAAAGAGAAAATACAAATAGTTTTAAACACTATAAATATAGTATAGGGGTTACACCACACAGATAGCATATAGTTTTGGTATGTAAACATGATATAACTTGTACATAGACGGAGAAATAGTAAATAAAAGAATTGATACAATAAAAAATTAACTTTATGTTATTGTAATATTTTTTCTAGTAGAGTTATTAGTTGGGAAGGGCGTTGGCGCCCGACGGGAGTTAGAAAATGATGCGAACTACTGTAAAAATTTTGTTGCTGGCAAATGTGAAGTTCGTTTACCCTTTTTTATTGTGCATTATTTTTCTGTAAGTTGCTTTCTCTGTCGTTCTACATTATTTTTAAAATCATATAATTATATTCATAAAGTGCGATGAGTCATGGTGAATTATTATCATATTATTATGAATGAAAAGAAATAAGGATTATTATTGTTCTGCTATTATTAAATTTGTAAAGTTAGTTTATTAATAAATGAATAAAAAAATTGTTTGTTGTGTCATTACAATGCGCTTCGTAATTATCATAGCATCACAGCACAGGCCTTCTGTCTTTGTTTTAAATAAATAGAAAATCATTTAAATCAAGTACACTACAAAAAGTTATTTTAGATATTTACCATATCGTCGCGTAGTTATCGTAAGAGGCGGCAGAAAGGCCAGGCATTTAGAAGAAAAAAAACTGGTTGCCCACACACCGTCAGTCAGCAACCATCTGCCAATGTGCAACTACAGGGTGAAATTTCTCCCAGTCCCCTGCATCCCCGCTATTCCTGGCGCCATGGTAACGGCGGGTCATAATAAGAATCTGATGGTTTGGTTGCCATCATCGACGACTCGACCTGGCAACATTTAACACATGCATCCCGAGGACTGACGATAAGAGCTTGAAGAAGAGATAGACAAGTTGCGATGGGATACTATAGAATTATCTGAGGGCCGAAGAGAGTTGTGGGACACGGTAATCAGGTATGTTCATGTCTCGAGGTGTCCGATTTATCGTCCTCAAGTCTCGTACAACGTTGCGAAGATTGTGTGGACAAGGGTTGCGATGACATTGCACCCCAACTTGCTATTATTTTTAATACTAGTATCGAATCTGGTGTTTCCTGATCTAATGAAACAATAAAGTTATACCTTTAATTAAATCTGGTAGTACATAAGAACCCACTAATTTTACACCTATTTTTGTAGGTGCTGCCAACGCTCAGTAAAGTTTTTGAAAAATTATTTTAGATGAAATGTTAATTTTTTTTAATGTAAATATATTGCTTTATAAAAATCATTTTGGTTTTAGAAGGGATCGCTCGACAACTGATGCCGGGTTTTTTTATAGGATAGAGTGACAAACGAGCACACCACCTGATGGTAAGTGATTGCTGTAACCCATAGACATCCTCAATAAATAATCAAAATACAGATGCGTTGCCACCCGTGAGGACTGAGATGGAATGCCTCTTTTCCAGTAAAAAGGGTCGCCGGTTCTCTACACTCACCATACGAAACACAGCAGTGTTAAGCTGCTATTTTACGCTGGTATTCTGTGAGAGCGTGGTCCTTCCCCGGTCGAGCCGACCCATTCGTGCTACAACTATACTATTAATATAGCTGCAGCATGGCTCTACCACGTAAAAATATTTTGTGACCTTTTCAAGGCTTTCGACTGTGTTCACCATGACATTAATCAGGAAGTTACATCATTATGGTGTAAAAAATATAGCGCTTGAACTTATTACATCTTATCAAAATAATCGAACGCAAACAGTTGTTATTAATGGGAGCAGTTCTTCCGGATCAATAGTATCTATGGGTGTTCCTCAGGGTTCAATTCTTGACCCCTTCCTGTTCTTAGTTTATATTAAAGACCTACCTTACTTGACCATGATATAGTTTTATTTGCTGATGATATTTCATTGATTTTCCGACTTAGAAGACAATTATTAAAATATGATGAAGTGAATAATGCTATACCAAAACTAGTACACTGGTTTAACGTTAATAATTTGATTTGAAACGGTAATAAAACGAAATGTATTAAATTTACAACACCAAAACAGGAGTCTTGTTGAATCTACTGTTTTTCTTGGAATTATAGTTGATGCAAA